CAGCCGTTGGTCCCTTTCCAAGTCTCATACAAATGTTACCCTAATCAAATGTAACAACAGTAAAAAAGGGAACATCAGGCACATCTTTCCTGCAACTGTGATCTTAAAAAATGTGTCTTAATTTTCTATATAGACATACCTCTTAGTGGTCAATCTAGTCCAATAGGTAACAATCCCAAAGAAATCAAGTGATTGGTGTATCGATGGATTGGATTCAAAATGATGTACGGTCCAACCATTTATAAGAAAAAAGTCAGGACACCAAACATCTGAGCTTTCCACACGTCACTAACACTTCTTCTAGGCCTTGTTTTAACGTGTGGAGCTCCAGACAGGTGAGCTTTACAAACAGGTGCTCAGATGCCAGGTAAATTACTGCTTGCTGAACTTACTCCAAATCTCCTGGCACCCAGCGCTTGGTTTTACGAAACAATCCCTCCTGGCTAATCTTTCCATTGCGCACCTAAACGAAGCATAACACATACTTAAAACTGTTATTTGTTTTACAGCTAAAAGGATAAAGTGATGTAATTCACCCACTAATTTGTTGTTGTTCAAATGTAGCATCTATTCTGAAACCTCATTGTTGTGTCCTGTGTACAACTTTTATTCCTGGAAAAAGGCGTCACAACTTAAAAATGTGGCCTTGATAGAATCAAGCGGATTCTGCCCATTGGTGGGAAAGTGCTGATTAATTGTGTCGTAGCCCTGTGAGAAAGTACGCCCAGCGCAAAGCACTAATTATGGGCCCTGCCTGGCCGAGAGAAAAGGGGGCAAAACTCTCAACAAAGGCCCATCTCATATCTCAAGACAATGAGGAGCCAAAAGAATAGGAGAAAGGAGAAGTTAATGAGCTGTGTCACCTGGCATCTGTTGATGCTGGGACGCGGCTGACTGGTGTGTCTGTGTACATGAGAAAAGAGAGAAAGTGTTTATGTATGTTTACATGTTGGATTCTGTGGTTCATTACGGAGTGTCCCTTTTCGGCATGCTACTTTACAGAAAGGACAATGCTGCAGGTAAAAGTCATATCTCAAAGGTGTGAATGGAAATGATAAGAACATGCAACACCTTGGTAGTTAGATGGTTACTGCGTGTGCCACATGTCACTGGTCTGATTCCCACAGTGGGACCGTTGTGAAATGTTAAACCCCTTTCTCTCTCTGTCCATTTTGAGTCTGCGACTATACTCCATCTGTTTTATAAAGACAGAAATGCCACAAAAAGGCATTAAAGAATATGAGTGTAGTATAGTATTTGTTTATTAGTCCCCGAGGGGAAAATGGGTTGCAGCACATCACAGAGGCATTTAAAAAGTTAAGACAATACATCACTAACAACAACATAGACACAGATAAAAACAAACAGACATAAGAAAACCAGATATCGGCAGACATGACAAGCGGCCTATCGGCCCTCATTTGCGAAATAGGGGAGACAGGGCCAGACCAGCTGGGTAAACAGTGCGTCCTAGCCATCATTTGTTCAGGAGTTTGATGGCTTGTGGGACGAAAGACAGCCTAGATCTGTTATTTTTTAAATAAGGGGCACGATATCTCCGCCCGGATGGCAACAGTTCAAAGTAAGAGGGTGCCTCAGGTCACTCACAATATTGTGTGCCAATTTTAAAACTCTGTCCTTATATAAGCATTCTATATTAGCAAATGAGATTCCTGTCAATTTACTGGACAATGTTACGGCCCTCCTGACTGACTTTTTATGTGCCTCAGTTGCGTTGCCGAACCAGCATATAATGCCGAAGGAGAGCACACTTTCGATAAAAGCATGATATAACATCTTCACCATTCTGTTGCCGACATTAAAAGACAATAATTTACGTTAAAAAAAACATTCTTTGTTGAGACTTAGCATTTATTTTCTCAGACCAAACATCCCATCTGAGCTTGTGGTCAAGCACGACACCAAGATACTTGTACTCAGTGACACATTGAATGGGCTATGATGAGAACATTGTGGATTTGTACCCATCTTTGTTGTCATGTAATTGCTTAATTTTTCAGCAAAACTTTGTCTGAGCCTGTCAATAATAAAGAAACATTGTCAATGCTATTTGAAATGAAAAGCCCAAAACTGTCAGTGCAACTGAGCTGCACAAATGTGTGTTCAAATATAAATATGTCTTTCTTTATGCACGTCAGTAGTTTTTAGAGGTTTGTTCTCCTTCAGCTGTTTGGACTTTAATGACTCCTTCTGCCACTAATACTCTAACTTTCTAACTTTCATATTCTAGGTTTAGTTGATCAGAAGCATCAAAGGACATATCAGTGCAGATGCAAAGTAAAAGTCAAACCTTTTCATCGTTGTAGGTGATTCAATTCAAAACCTTTATTTATACAGATAAAACCCATTGAGATCATAGACCTCTTTTGATTATACTTTTTATTCATATGATCAAACACATTGTAGATTGGGGCATTAACCATTGCTTCCAAATGACAATAACAACATATCGAGGCTTCACACTGAAACATATATAAATAGGGCTGACACACTAAAACGGCTTTGACCCTTATTCATAACACGCTGGCCACATGTTGTTATGAGGAGAACACAGAAGAGGTCTGGCTTTCCAGAAACTGTATATACAGTAAGCACATTTGTGATCCTATAAAAACAAAACTCAGCCATGGGTTCAAAAATACTTTGTGAAATCCAGAGGGAAACACTGTGCGATCCTCAGTTTAAAAGGCGACCAGTCGACTGTGGTTTAGAGTTGAAGGGCGGCAGCAGCAATCCTGTTATGACAGTAAATGACGTGACGTGAAACTGCATTTAATGACAGAAGGTGTATTATAGCTCGAACTGTGTTTTCTGTTTCGTTTGGCGCTTGACTTTTGTTTTTCACTGACCCTGAGGAACAATTTCAGTAATATTCAGGGAGTCAAAAACTAGTTTCATGTCTCAAACAGAACAGATATCTGTTGACAGGGCTAATTGTTAAGTGCGCGGTTGCTGATCTCGAGGCCAAAGAACCACTTTTGGTTGTTCCACTGAAATTTGTATAACTTACGCAGAACCACAAAGTTTTTCTGTGCATTGACACTGCTGTCTGTTCATACTGTATCCATTGTGCACTGTTTCAGTGTGCTTTAGATGTTCTAATGATAGAATAAACTACTTGGTAATTAAAGATTCCTCCTCCTTTGAGAAGGGGCTGGGCTTTGCAAAAAGGGAATTCTATGTTTCATTTTGAAGTTATTGGTCCAGTTCCAAGACCATCTAGCCTCCAATGATCAAAGGTTGAGTCAGAGAAAAGCCTAGCGGGAGGCTTATGCAAAATGTCGTCTCCTTATTGCGAATCGCCCGACACGTTGGAAACCATCGGCGCTCGTTTAAATGTCAATATACCCCGATGCAGTTTGGCTGTGCTTGGTCAAGTTTGAAGTATGTGGTTGAAAAAAAATCTTAGAAATAGAATTTGCAGGGTTTGGAAAGTTGCTTTGATTAAATTCCTCGACCACGGCTGATTTATCTCCGAGTCCGTAAGAACATTTCATATCTGAAGATAGTCATGCACGATATAAAACCTTGGCACTTGGGAAACAGTGTCATAAAAGTATTTATTTGTTGCAATTTTCATATTTTTCAAATGATTACTTAAACACATTCAATACATACAGACCTGTACTTTTGAAAGAACATCCATAACATTCATCTGTTTGCAACTTATATCAATATTCCAATTACTTGTATATATAGAGTATTCTGCAAAATGTCTATTATATTGTATTTACTTGCACTATTATCTGTTTTATTATGTTGCACTGTTGGAGGAGCTTGTGCCCTAAGATTTGAATTGTCATAACTAAACTGTAGCTATGTACACATGACAATAAAAGCCTTGAACTCTTGTCCATGATAACAGATTGTTGCAGGAAATCATTTTTTCTTAGTAAAAATCATTCTTGTTCAGAGAAGATAATAAGCAGTCGAAAGAGATCATGACGAGATGAAGGGACATTGAACTTCCGCAGTCATCCCTCGCTGCCCCCCCTCCCCCTCCCCTCCCCCCCTCCCCCCTCCCCCTCCCCCCCCCCCCCTCCCCCTCCCCTCCCCCCCCCCCCCCTCCACCTTCAGTGCTGATCCATTATGTTAATGGTGATTACTGGGTCACACATCAACACTATGTTTCCACCTTTTAAAAGCAGGCCAGACGTCCAAAGCCCCATGACGGAGCGCAGGGGGGACGTCTGGGTCTGTTGGAGGTAACTACCGGGGTGGAGGGGGGGCTGATAGCATCGCCAGGAATTTAAACAAAAGTATTTTTTTCTCCCTCAAAGCCACCATCTTTCAGTCTGACGGTTACTGTAAACATCATTCCAGCACACAGCATTATAAGACATGCTACTCCACATTCCTTCAGCGCTTTTAAAAAGATGGAAAAATGTCTCAAATATTGTATGTTTACTGGTTGGGAGAACATTTAAAGTAGGTTGTTTTTTTTAAGTGCTGAAACATTGACAAAGCTACGTCTCAGGTTATCTCCAATCTTGACAAATGATGAGAATTTTATTTTTGGGGGATTTCACAGCTTTGATGCGGTGTATGGTGCTATATATATATTATCCCATTTTATTAAAGAGGCCCTATTCTGCTTTTTGGGGTTTCCCCTTTTCTCTAGTGTGTTATATAGGTTTTAGTGCATGTAAATGGTCTGCAAAGGCTAAAATCCTGAAGTTCAATTGGACTCCTTTGTTTATTTCCCATAACATAGTAACATCACCACGTAATAATCACACTTTTTTATTGGGTAGTGCTCCAACAGATTGTACGTAAGGGGCGAAACATCTTTTAGCTGTTGACCAATCACAACAGAACCGGCCAGCTAACCAATCGGAGCAGACTGGGCTCTGGTTTCAGACGGAGGGTGAAAAGAGAGGCTGCAGCACAGGCAGTATGAGAAAAATAAAGAGCTTTTTGAACATTAAAGCATAGACATGTCACAGGAGAGGCAAAAAACACAAATATGAACTCGCAAATGAACAGAATAGGGCCCCTTTAATACATGTGTATCTTAGTTATTGACACTTAAAAGAAGGAGCACATACAAAGATACATTTTACTTTCTTGGCCCAATTATTTTGTATAATATGTTATGATATTGAAGTTTAAAGAAAGCACAAACCGTGAACTCTTGTTGCCCTTCATGGTGATATACAAAGCCTGCAGAGATGTTGCAATAGAGCTTTCTCAATTTAAAAACATCTGACCTTAAAAGCAGTCCTCACACTTTGGGTTTGTATATAAAAATGCATACCTTGGCAGGATGAGGAGAAGGGAATGTACTCTATGTCCAACCAATGGCTACCTGCAGCATTTCTCTTTAAGGAAGTCTGATAATCAACGTTCACATTGTTGAATTCCATCCTGAACCAGGCTTTCTCCAGTGCAATAAAAACACATAAAATAGTTTTTAAAATATAGTCCTCATTTTATTAACAGAGGCCAAATAAAACTCATCACATTTTATTTACAAAGGGAGGCAATAAATATCTTAATAATAGTCATAAAATTATTTTTCGCTTACATTTGTTTAAAAAAAAAAAAAGATCATAAATGTGTCATGTTGTTAGTAGCAACTCATACAAACACCTGCCCGGAAACAGGCGAATACACACTACAGGTGAGAGGAGGCTGGAGTTTGTCGTCAGTGAGAGGGAATGATTGAAGCACAGACTATTCCCCTTTTTTTCAGAAAATATTCCCACAATCTCGAGAAATCTGGGTTTCTGAGGAGAAGTCTTAATTGTCAAATGTGAACTTAAAGGTGGGGTAGGTAATTTTGGAGAAACCAGCTCGAGTGCGCAAGAATTAGAAAATACACAGCCGGAAAAAATCTGCCACTTCCTTACAGAGCCCCTCCTCCAACACACACGAACGCGCACATGACCAATGAGGGCACGAGGTAAGTTTGTGCACAGGCTGACAGGCAGGTAGGCCATCCAGTTACTTTAGCCGGGTGATCAGATGATTGGTCGTGCTTTTTACAGAGCTACAGCTTCCACAGATGACATTTTTTGTCAAAGCACTTCAGATATTCATTGCTATCAGGATGTTAAGAGCATTCCATGCAATATAATAAAAAGTGTATCTCGAGCCGGTTTCTCAAACTTACCTACCCCACCTTTAAGGAAGTAAAGGGCTACAGTCTTCCTGTCTGCAGATCACAAAACAAGCACGGGGATAAGCTTTCCTAAAAGTGTGTCGAGTGTGAAATGGAGCAAAGATGAGCTCACGGTCGAAAGATGATTTTGGAAGAGAAAAAACAGAAGAGCGTCTGAAAGGTTCTGGAGATTAACTGAGCACAGACAGTCAGACTAGGTGAAGATAAACACAGAAGAACAAGGAGGTAGAGGACGTCTTCATCACCAGCCCCGAACAATATTAGCTAGCTCACACTCAAAGAATCATCCTTTTCTTTGAGGAAGAGCTGTTATGAAAGTGGGCGACAAGAGGGATTAGCATACATAGTGATGAAGTTGGAAGACTTAGTGGAGTTATGAATCACATCAGCTGTAATATTTTTGTTTGTATTGTTTTCTTTTTAGCTGTTTAAACAAGACTAAAGCCACGGCTGGTGCCCGACTAGTCAAAGCATGTCGTGTTTTAGCTGAATCACAGGAAACGTCAAGGGAATCACACACAGCATTCCTGGAGCCGCCAGTGGAGCTGAGGTTGAGAGACATATGGAAAAACAAAGCAGAGAGGCAGAGAAAGAGAGACCTGTAAAACATTGCACTCAGAGCTACACAGTTATCCCGGCAGCACAGAGTCACCTGCGACCGCCACCTCTCTCCGGTTCGTCTCCATGGTGTCCGATTCCAGTGGAAAGTATGGGATCCGCGTTGTCAGGGGCAACACAAACAAAAAAAGGGGACAGGTATTCCAATAAATCTCTAGTTGGCTGATTTTTATAACATCGCGTAACAAAAAAAAAAAAGAAGAGAGAATGCACTGCCTTCAGTTCAAACGTGGCCGAGGAGGACGGCGACAGTTTCTCTCAGAGGTCCTTTAGTGTATCCAGTATAAATAACATGACAGACACGTTAGCACAATGACATCAACCCAGAAGAATCCAAGAGTTAGGAAATATTCAGTCATCCTGAAATACAAAAATAAAACATCTTTTTTTTTGTTCTTTTTGTCTGTCTTTCTTTTACAGAAGTGAAGTCTTTAAGGTGAAGACAAGAAGAAGCTTGAGATTTTTTCAGTTAAGTTCGTTTTTTTTTTTCTATTTCCCCCCCTTTGAGGAAAAGTAGTGCTGTCCTGTCCCATTGATTGGTCCCATCAGTTCCTCTTGGAGTTGGCTTTTAACCGCCGAGCCCTTCGTGTCCGCTTAGTAACCGGAGTGAAGCGAAACTCCTCCAGCGGGTCCAGCCTGCCCTTCGGCTGGCGCTTCATGAAGTGGACTTCCTGTTGCCTCTGCGTGGTCCGCGAGCCTTTTTTGGGCCGCCCCTTCCTGTTGAAGCCGAGGTACCATCCTTTGTACTTGGCTGACACGAGGGCCGTGTAGTTGTTCTCCAGGAATTCCTCGACAAACACACACTCCTGCTTCCGTCCATCGGGCTACACAAAGAAGAAATAGGACATTAATTAAAGATCAACATAGCTTATGGCTTATTTGCATTTCATCTGTGTGTTTGGGCTGTTTTTGATAGTGTAAGTGGTGTAAGTTTAAAATGTTGGTTTTGTGTTGAACACCTACATTTTTGATTGAATTTTAACACTTATTTTACATTAAAACGGATCGCAAACTAAGAAATTCAAGGACAGCATTACATTTGAAATCTTACTTTCAGAAGTAGAAAACGTCTTCCAATGAGTGTGGGGTAAAACTTAAAAGCATACAAATTCACTTTCACATGACTAGTGGCGTTTCCCGCACGCTTAACTCTCTGCTGCACTATTGTAGTTTTCACAGTCTTTTTAATAACTAATCTTTATTTCACTTTCAGCTAACAGGCCACATTGCAGTAGCTGTATTTTAGAGGAACAGTTTGGTTGTAATACAATCATTTACTTGCTTGCCATGTGAGAAACAATTCTGCAGGCTAAATATGCAGCAAGAGCCAGTTAGCTTAGCTTACCGGCATAATTAACTAACTCGGATAGAAGAAGTGGTGCTAATGATCTCATTTAACCTTCTGATTGAAGATATGGAGCTTTATATTCATGAAAATTCTTCAAAAACATGCTGGTGTGGAGTTTAAGTGTTTAAATTATACAAATGCTAAGTAGTGAGGAAAAGCTGGAGGGTTCTAATACTTTGCGCAATGGTCACAGCAGGCTGTTTGCAATGAGAGATCTCAGAAGTCTTGTAAGTCTGCATCAGACTTTTCTTTGGAAGAGAGCATTTCCACTGAAACCTGTTCACTGTGATGTCTGTGGATTATCTGCCGATACAGAACAGCCTTCCTAGAAAACAGAGCGGCTGAAGCTTTTAAAGCAGGGTGGAAGTAAATATCTCATATCTGCTATCTGCATGCCTTCATAGATATACGGGTAAGTCAGAAAATATCTAACATTCGGGTGGAGAGACACTTTCAAAATCCTGACGCCCGTTTAATTGAATGTCACCAGCAATGAATAATGTAAATGTCATTTTAACTGATTGTTAAAATGACCCTTTGCTGGTTTAAAGGAGGAAGTCAAGGAGCATTCTTTAAACCAATGACGCCCAAGCAACAAAAAAAAATGCATGTTTCTAACAGATGACCGTGATGAGAGAGTGAAATCGTGTGTGAATTATTGCAGACGCTGTGATGATGACAACTTGAGTCATTAATGCAAATAAATCACACGTGGGCTTTTTCAAATATGAACTTCTTTTCCATATCGCAGCGTTGGTCAGAGTCACATGCAGTCATCCCGCGCCTGTGGCCACCTGGTGTGACTAAGTGATATAATTGCAATGGCATTCCTCCTAAGTGACCATTAGTCTCTCAATGCATTGTGGTGATTGCAGTCCATAATTGACTGATCGAGTGTCAAAGGAGCAGGCCGATTACGTAATGGAAGAAGGGCTGGGAGTTATCAAAGGGGTTTTGTTAGGGTGTACAAAAAACAGCCGGAGAAAGCAGATCTGAGGCTGCGTTCAATTCAGCCCGGATTAAGAGCTCCATTTAAGATATTCATTTAGATATTAGGAAGTGGCGATTAAGTGAAAATATTGATCATTTACTGGAGGATCAGTGGGTTGAAAACCAAGAGATTCTTACCCTTCCGACTATTTTGCCCTTCTCGTTCATGCAGATGTAGTGTTCGCTCTCCTTTCCTTTAATTCGGATGTGGCTCCCGAAGGTTTCCGTCTCGACAACAAGGAGAGCTGGAAAACAAAAGAAAAAGAAGATTCTGTTAACAGCAAGTCTTTCCAATCACATGGTTTAAGGATCCTGATTCCATGCACATTTAATGATATCTCATTTGTTTTTCACACTTATGGTGATTATTTGTAACACTCAATTTCTTGACAATAAGACCAGCAATGTATTTTATTTTAGTACCAGTCCTGCAAACTGAACGCTCTAAGTACCTCACTCAGAAAACTCACATATTTAGCATCAAATTGCAAAAATGAAATGTTTTGAACTGTTTTTTGGGTGTTAATATTACGGTAATATGTCATGATTAAAGTGCCGTAATATGTACCACAACAAAAGTTAACCACCACTTATAAACCAGTAATGTATTTGTATAGAGATCAATAGGACAACACAATTCTGCAATATCCAGGAACACGATGTTGGTCTGTTAAAAACACATATTGCATGAGATTCTTTCTATCAGTGAATGTGGAAAAATGTTCAATGGTTTAGACATTTTTTGAACAAAAATGGACCAAAAAATGATGCGTCTGCAGAGAAAACAGTTATCTTTAGGTGTACAAATGTCTTAACAATATACCACATATGCACCAAAACAAGAATGCCACTCCACCCTGACGCAGCAGTAATCCACTCTCGAGACGCATCCCGGCGGCTCTTTTATAACCACCCCCCCACCCCACCCCACCCTGAATGTTAACCCCTGCGAGGTCACCTTTGTCTGCGCTCGCCCCTCGACCAGCAAAGAGATCGGCCAAACATTTGTGGAGCGGTTATGTGCCCCTCAGGATTAGGTTTCAAGTTCCCTTTAGTCTGTGCTCACTCAATCAAAAAGTTAAGATGATCCATTTGTTTAACACACAGGGCCATTCAGTAGCGCTCAAGGGAGCAGAGGAAGAATAGGCGAAAGGGGATGGGTCGGGCTCCAGGGCAGAAGTAACTCCCCCGCCTCCTCCCCCTCCTCACCCTTAAATACAACCTTGGGAGGAAAGTGGGAAACCTGTCTCAAAGGTGGAAGAAGTTATTCCCTCCTTTTGTTAGGAGAGATTCCTGTTTGTACGTCTTATTTGGGAGGGAGAGAACAGTATGTGTTATCACTGGAGGGAGCTTGGAGGAGCTGTAAGAAGGGAAAAAATCCAACAAGTCTTAAGTGAATGTTGTTTATAAAGATATTTCAGCTGTCTAAAAGTCATTTGACAAGCGTTTGGCTTTCTCACTTAGTTGGTTTTGCACGGAGACCCAAAATTCAACCTCAGCAGAAACATCGACCTAGAACATCAGATAAAACAATATTTCCCTCCCTACTGTAAGATACCCTTTGTCTGTAAATTGAATCATTTCATTTTATCTCAGTTGGCTCAACAAGAAAAATATCTTTGAGAAAGAGTGGTCACTGTGATGTTTTGTAAATGAACTCTTGACATTTCTTAAAAACAATTCTCAGGCCCAAGACTCCATTGGCAGCCATAGTCGGCACATTAAAGGGGAACAACATTTCAAAATCTGACAGAAATGTTAGAATAACTGCTCAATGTTTACCATTAAATCCCACTCCCAGTGACTTCTTTTTCACCAGGGTTTCTTTCATGGGGCAACATAAACAAGGAGGGTCCACAGGCGTGAATTAACCTCAGCATGGGGTCACCTGTCAGGAGAGTTGAAAGCTCCTGCTTTAATGCCACGTTGCAGCATCTATCAGTTTAAAAGCCTTTAGGGAGAACCACCGTGTGCTCAGAGTGGACATCAGGCATCATTTATGACAAAAAAGGATTGTCCTAGTCTCTTAAAAATAATGAATATGCTACCAAGAAGAAGGATGGCTGCACTAATAAGGACTTAGAGGTTTTAATGCTCTGTAACGAAGCAATATATTTCTGGTTGTGGCCCTCAGATGTGAAGCTGCAGTGACTGAGAGAGGATCTTCTTGAGCGTTATTAGTGAGTGCAAAGGAGTTCACAGGTGCCAGGTACTGCAGCTGGATGGGGAGGAGGAAGAGGAGGAGGGGCGGAGGGCAGAATTGGCAAGGCCTCATGGGAAAAATTGGATCTGCTTCCACTCAAGCTCTAACAAGCAGTGAGGAAACTTCGCCTCGGCGCATCTGTGACTGAACACACTCACTCAGAGGCATTCAAGACCGGCAATTTCAGAGCAGTGAGTCAGCTGTTATGAGCTAAATATCTGCAGGAAGTTCCAGGAACACACAAAACAAGGCCTGACCTTTAATTTACTCATCTGCTGCTCTTGTTTTGATATGAAATGAACAAGTTTGTTCAAAAGGCAGACAAGGTATATTTGAGATTGGTAGGAGCATACAATTGGAAGAACATGTTATATTCAGTAAAACTAAATCCTTCAAATGCCGTTTTGCTATATGCTTAACATGTTCAAGTATTGTCATTTTTGCACTGATAGCTAATATCCAACATCAAATGTGACAATGACTAGTGTGAACCATCTTGTTGTAAAGAAGATTAAAGATTTATATTTTTGCTTTCTCTTAATGTTTTAGGACTTTACTGATCTGCATTTCCAAATCTGGACAGACTCCATCTGCTTCCTCATGAGAAACAATAACATTTTCTGATGAATTAAGAGAACATTAAGTTCAATAATGCCATGACTGCATCCAAACCTCAATAGTTAAAACCTACAGTAAAGAATATGTTGCAGTTTTGGTCCACATTAGGGATTCTGGCCAAAATAATTACCTTGTTGTTGAACTATAAATCAATCAAGGTAAGAACAGACTTGCTCTGAATACCCAAACGCTGCGTTAAAAATCCATTGCAAAGTCAGCAATTTCATGTTTCCACCGACCCCATACAGAAGTTGGCGTTTTCTTAGTAAGTTCTCCATCCACTTTCCCGAAGCTAAACACTGAGCATGGACAAATGATCTCCATATGATGGCTGGATCAACATCTGGCTGGTAGGTGTTGGAGGGTTCTCATCCTGCTGTAAAGAAACTAGCTAGCATGTCAGGTGAGATGCACAGGAGTTCTCCCATACCATACTTGCCCCCATCATCTCCGTTGGCGTTGACTTTCTTCCCGAGGATCTGCACGTGTTTCCCCGTGGTCCTGCTGTACAGCTGATAGATCCGGACCTGCTTCCGGCTCAGGTCGTCCGGGTTCCTCGTGTGGTTCTCGATGTAAATCCTGAAATCAGCAGAGGTCTGCTGGGATTCCTGAGAGAAAGACGGAAGAGGAAGAAGCATAGAAATAGGTGAAGACAGGCGGTTAGAGATCGTCACGGCACAGGTGTTGATAGTAATGTGCTTTTATAGGCCGTGTGTCAAAAAAAATTGTGCTCCAGGCGCGAAAAACTCCAACCGGGAAATTGTGGCTGCGGCATTTGAGTGTTTTACTTCCTGCTTTCAGCTCGCACATTTTACATGCATTGCATTTACGAGCTGATAACTATGTACGAGATGTGTTAATGAAGTCACCGTTTGAGTAAAAATCCCACAGAACCAGTGCAGAGCCTATAGTGCAGCCTTCTGCTTCAGATTGAGACAGCGGTATACTATGTGCCCCGGGCGATATTGAGAAACCTGTATTCCATTTCCACAAGCAAGCAAGCCACTAGCAATTATACACCTGAAGCATCCAGACCTGTTGCACTATCATCAAACAAATATCTGCCTGCAGGCCAAGTACGGTCCATAAATTAGGAAACGTAGCGGGCGGAAGACAAGACGGAGGGATGGCATGAGGCACCTCCAAAACAGGAGGACTTTCTGATTCTGCAAATTCACCTTTCAGAATTTAGTAGAAGGCTTTTTATGAGTCACCTAAGACCTGACATAAAAACCGAGGAAACCGCAGACTTCGACAGCTCGTCAGAAAAGCAAATGTGTCACCCAACATGTGGAAGAGGAAACGTATACTTTCAGAAGCCCAGGAATCTGTGTTCACGCCAAGATCCCATTTCCCCAGCTGTATGGTGTGGTAATTGCACAGTAATGGCTTTTTATGTGGCTGTTCTCAGGTGGCTAATTATATACACATTACATACCCCGAGTTCTTGTTATTCTAACTTTAGTAAATTAATGACATGTAGAAAACATGAGGGGAAATCGTGGCCTCGGAAGAAGAAATCTTTAAGCTCGGACAGGAAAAATAAACGTTTGCAAATCAAATGGAGGCTACTAACATTAGCTCTCTTAAATCAGGTGACATATAATAATACTTTAAAGAACGATGTACAGAAAGGTGAGTTTTACGCCGCACACGAAAAAGCAATGGTTTAACCTCCCAAAAAGGATAATTGGATGTTGAGTTTGGACACCAACTTTAAATGTCTTCTTAAGGACTTTGCCCTCCCATTTCTGAGCCACATTTGGACTTGGGGCTTTTTAAATAGTAAGGACTCGTTGCCTCATTATGACGTATTTGGTCTAGAAATGTGGACCTCAGAGGATTCAGCCCCAGAACTGGGACACAGCTCCTGTATCTTGACATTTCGGAAACACGCCCGTAATGTTACTTTTGGCAATGTAGAAAATGAGAGGCATGATATTAAAATGTATCAGCGACTAATTTGTGATGTTAATAGTGACATCAAAACCTTAAATTGGGCCGACTTTACTTCATGCAATGGGATTTTTATTTGGGAAGCAATTTGTTTAGCCATGTAACTCTTATGGAAAATTATGTAAATAGACTTTTTTTAAACTAACCCTAACCCCAATTGGACTTGTTCTCTAGATCAGGTATATCTATCTGCATGAAACAACTGCTCAGCCATGTGATATAATGTTCTCTTTAACATTTTTCTTACAAACTACTGTAGTCAACACCAAATTGCAGAGAAAAATAAATCAAGAACCAGCACTTCCTACAGATAACCCTGATAACATTTAGATTAGATCTAGGAACTGATAACCCAATGCAACCCATTCAATTCAAGACAAGGATTTGCCATGCTCAACTCAAAAGCAAAAGCTATTTGACTCATACTGTCAAATGTATATAGACAGCATTTTCAGAACTGCATTTACTGTACATTAGAACTTAATGGATGTTTAATAAGTACTGGAGACCAAGGAGCGGCAATGTCAATGGAGTTTGTTGTATAGATATAGTTATATATACAGATAGTACTACTTTTATATTTGATGCTCTTAACATTCGGCGTCTGTTCCCAAGAGAAACTCCAGACAATGATTCATTTGAGAGCCGAGCAGTTAGCATGAGCAGCAGTAGCCTCAACATCTGAACAAACAAAGAAAAAAGTAGCACCTAGAGGACTTTTCATTCAACGAAAAAAAAGATTGTAAGATTGAAAAGTGATCTTCACAAACTTGGATCCCTAGCTGTTACTAAAAAAAGAAAGCAGCTTGATACAAAACCTCCCTCAGATTTAACATTAGTGCAACCGCCTGGTGTCCGTCCAGAACTACACACACAAAAATGTGTTAAAAGGATTTCGAAAGTCAAACATCGGCATCGTCTGTTGTCAACTTTCTCTCTGAATGAACCTCAAAGCTGACGAGCAAGAAAAAAAACCCTAACACAAAACAAAACGTGGCCTCTCTGGGCCGCTAAGGGATTTATCCCAAATCTCCCCGTCTCTAAACAAACATAAAGGTGTTTTGGTAGACAGTTGCATTTTCATCAAGGGAAAGGCAAGCCTAAGCACATGGCTGAGGTGAACACTAGCGACAACAGCTTTTTTTTTTTTTTTTATCACGCTGTCTCCTTTCTTCAAAGACACAGCATGAAAACGGATATGGTTGAAACTTCAAAAGTCTGGCACTCATCTTCACCCAGGAAGCTTAGTTGTCGCATCCATCTAAGATACACCTTGCTATCTCTCAGGGTCACACACACAAATAGGAAAACACACAGTCTCACATGTTGGCAGTGCATTCAAAGTTTACTTCCAACTGTGGTTGCGTCTGTTGTCTTTCCTCGTGAAATCACAACCACAGCATGACACGTAGGAGCCATTAGCCGCAGAATGGGTCAACAACACGGAGAGGGAATGTGAAAGGGGGGCATTAAAGGACTATTCCTGCATTTTTTCAGTTTGATCATTATCCTGAAAGCACTCAGGGAACCACAATGCATTTCCTTTGTTTGATAAATGCCTTTATCTAATCTGATTTCTTTCATAATCACATCAAACATGCAACATCCCATAACAAACATGGACTATTAATTATCAGTGCACCTCATTTGTCTGTAAGGTCATATTCTGAATGGGGTTCATCCTCGCTTACATTTGAGGAGTGGTCAGTCGACACGCTTTGTTTGTGCCAGTTCTGTTGGAATAATCAGAGCCCATAGACTTATATAACTTTGCAGTTTTTCGAGTTTTTAGGGTTCCAGGAATTCATATGTTGTTGATTCATTAAAACAAATCTTGATCAGAAAATTGACTTTCAGGTTAGACCTGTTATTTTTGTCAGAGAGCTACAGGCCCCCGACCGTGATGCCCTAAATGAAAAAAAAAACCTGTTGTAGGCTAAAACACTACAATTGTGCAACCATAACATTTATTTATATAGTTTACAAACAAACTTTCCCTCTAACAGGGTTGTATTGAATCAAAAGGTCAAAATGGCAGCTCTTAATATTGGTATTCTTTAGTTTCAGTGACTAAAATATAGCTAAGATAAAAATGACTTTTAAAAATATATCAATATGTTGCCAACTGTTGGATGCTTATTTAGAATAAAATATACCCCCGGAGTGAATAATGGTTAGAACCTTAACAACACTTTAAAAAAACAAAAACGATCCTGTTTTAATATTTGAGATCAGAGGGAACTATTTGAAACATCAGCACGTGGAAAAATGATGATCCAACACGTCATAGCTATAAAGTGATCAGATAACTTTATGAGAGAAGGAGCGTGCTCTCTGCCTCTTATGAATCACTGCGCGCAATTAGGTGAGTGGATGCCTGCAAATCATTACTGTTCAAAGGGAGACGCGACTAATAAAAAAACTAAAGCAACAAGCGCACAAGCAACCCATCTGTTCAAAGGACGAGTTAAACCCCAGGCATCAAAAATATGTATTAAACATTTCTGTTGGAAAATACGAAAGCTGCTAGTTTATTTCCAGGTTATAAAACTATCTTAAAATATTTTGTACAGGTATTTATAGCCTTTAGGAGATCAATCTTTAGACCAGTTTCCCTAATACCAAATGCGTTTTTCTTTTTCACTACGGGTTATATTATTTTAGCATTGGTTATTTTATAGGGATTATAATGTTGCCTTTATGTTTGGTGAAGTAGCTGTTATGATAATACTATTGCAGGGAACTGTTTTGTCCTTTTCCTTAAATGTATGCATGTTTTTTATATTATATCCCACCGGAAGAAAAAAAGTGTCCTAGTTCTCTCGTTTTTTAAATATCCTTGTTGATTTTATCCCTTTATTTTTCGCATATCAAATGCTTTCCTTTTACAATTAGAGGCCGATTTTCTTCTTAAGATAAGGTAATATGCAATTTGAAATTTGCCTTTTGTGCGACCACTTTAAAAATAACCTATCATCAGCATTTTTCCTTTAAAAAGCAGCACAGTGACATGCAAACGTACACACACAAAAAAGGGAGTTGAACGAGGGAGTAAACATACCTGTAGCTGGAAATAGAGTACCAGAAAATGTAAACACCTATGTGGAGAGAGGGAGAGAAAAGGGATGAGGGGAGTGAATCACACAGGCAATTACATGAAGAATAAACGCAGCCTACCTGGATTAAAGCAATGCGCAAATATGAAGCTTTTAGCGACTTCTATTGGTAAGAATGCATGGTTTTATGTGAGAAAGGCACGCGGAGAAGTGGAACACTTACAGGTATATGAACCTCGAAGGCAGCACAGACATCTTGACTCGCAGAAATACACCTGAAATACACCTGCTTCCACAGATTTGGAAAGGTTGGCGAAATCGCCCCCCTCTCTCTTGCTTTCGCTCCCTGGCGCGTCCTTTACAACTCCGGGGGTAAGTAGGAGATTGAATCCCAGTGTAAGGATATATCACTGGAGAGCAGCAACAACAGAGTCACGGAGTGCAACATTAGGTGTTTCCTTGTTGGGGTGAATTATCCAGTTTTTTTCTCAGACCGGCTCCCCGAAATCCCGGAACGTCTCCGTAAATCGGTGCCAAGCGTGGAAATGATTCACAAGTCAACCTCTCCAAAAATCCCCTTCGCTCATGAAAAAATATCCTTCGAGTTTTGCGCACCTATAGCCAAGTTTCCCCACAATCCAAATCCTACTCCAGAAATCACAGGCTCCTCAACTCCGTCCGTACCTGCGGGGGCTTTCTACACCTTGCATGTGTCATTTTATTCTACCAAGTGCTACGCTGGAAAAAAAGTTAAAGTGGTGATAATAAAACGCCCTTCCACCACTCGCTAAAAGTGGGCAAACAAACTTATCCAGGCATAGCAAAGTTATGTTTTTCAAAAAGAAAAGCAGAGTGGAAATCGCAGTCCCTGGAGAGGTTTGGGGGCTGGTGATGGCGCAGCAGTGCCTGTCAGTGGTGTTTGTGCGTCTGCGGCTTGAGATTTGGGCACAGAGAGGCTTTTTTGTTGTTGGTGGGAGGAAACATGTCAGCGGTTTGCACCTGATAGGATAATCCTGGCGAGACCATCAGCTTGGAGAGGGTTTGTTCCTCTCGGTGGGCAAAGCGATGCGCAGTGCTCTTTGGTTTGGTTGCTTTTAGATTTTTAAAATTAATAAAATGTTTTTTCCTTTAGTCAGGTTGGATTTTGTTGTTGTTGTGTTCGGCTATGGACAAAGACCACCTGATAAGAGATGGCATTTGACGATATCTACTTTCTTTTCTAAATTATATAAATTTCATTTTTATTTTTGCGTCAAACCATATTTTCAGGTTATATTATTTTAACCCCTTTATGACTTAAATAATAATAAATATCAACAGGTATCGTAATTTTCTTCATTACATTGTCATGGGTGTAGAATAAACAGCGGCTGCGTGTAACCACCACAGAAACTGCTCCTCTCAGTCGGGTTTTTAAAGCTACTGCTGGTTTGTGGATTGGCCTCGGCTCCTCCAGACAGCATTCAAATGCAGGTTGTTGTCGACCTCGATTTTTTCAATAATGTGCTATAACTTATCCCGAATTTAAATGAAAGAGAGGTGTGAATCTGTTTACGAGCTGGCAGCAGTAAAGCGAGCCCACATCCCTGCTGCCATCAAAAAAACAGAAAACCTTTGTGGTTCTCCTTTATTGTCCCATTAAAACTGGATCCTCGGCATTCCTGCCCCATTGATATTCAAAATGAATCTAAATGATTACATACAAACTTCCCATGTTGGGGATTTCAAAGGGCCTCCTGCAGTGAGTTTAGTGGGGACTGAAAGGAGTGTTTAACTAAGAGCTCCAGCTGCTGATCAGCATAAGGCAAACACACAGACAATCAATTATTTATCTGGAAAAATATAAATGCATGAATTTTATTTATCTAAGTGTTTATGATTTATAACGACAAGTTGAGTCATGTGTATTTTGTGCATGTTGTAAAGAGGATAAAGTGGGTTCATGTGGTGTTTACCCTGTGATTCATGGCCGTCTGCCTAACAAGAAGGCTTGATCCTGACAACCACAGTGCACTTTAATAATCCCTGTAACACAACTGGGGTAGAATGTCAATTTAAAGCATGACTAATTTAGCCTTGTCCGCCTCAAGGGAGGGGAAATCACAGCAAATATTGGGCCAATAGTAATTATCGAGGAAGATAATTTAATGATTTCTTCACAAATACGAGGCATTGGTTCTGTTTGATCAAGTAAGGCTTACAGTTCAAAACAAAAGCACCTGACAACTGATTTAAAGAAGGCAGGATGATAAACAGCAATTACCACGCCGACTGTGATAGAGCCAGCATTGCGGGGTCACTCCTCGCCTCTTAAGCACATGTTTGTGACAAACTTCTCGGAGCATGACTGTAAATCCACAACTGAGGGGAGAGCGCTGTAGCGAGCTTGATGTGGCCACCTGTGACTCACAAGGAGGCGGAAATGTATCTCTGCTCATGGCAAAAAGGGAAGATACACTTTTTTTTTAAAGAGGACTTTTATCATGAGTCACAAGAATAGGGAAATAAATAAGTTATGGCTGCAGGCCAAATGTTGGATGTGTCAGCTATGCACTTGTCTGGACAACCAGTCACATTGGCAGCTGGCCAGGAGTCAGAGGGAAATATTTATTTTAGAAATATAAACTTATTTATGGCACAAAAGAAAGCCCACTGGACCAACTCTTTTCATACATGAAATCTGCCTGACAAAAGGGATTTAAAAGGACCTAAATGGAAGGACTCCATTGGCTTTGCACTGTCCCCTCTGAGAACCTGATTGTTTACATTGTTTATCCATATCACTGTTTAGTTTTTAAGCTGTTGGAAGGTTTGGCACCAAATTCACATCCAGTACAACCATCATTTGGAGAAGAGAAGTCTCAGACAAGGTGCCAACAAAACACTTCATCTGTAGGACGCTTTGCAGAGTTAGGGTTGGTTCACACCATTTCAAAATATCGGTTTTATTTGTCTTTTTTTAAACCAAACAATACAAGTATTTTAAGTAGTTGATTTTGAATTATTCAAAGTAAGTGGGAATATGAATTTGCTGAGGATTCAAAAGATATATATTCAGTCAATGCTTTGAACACAAAAAAGTCAATTCCAAATATCACAAAACCTCAACTCAAATGTTTTGGAAAAAACGGACCCTTTAAAAAGGAAGAGAGTTCAGATGTGGATTGAAAACTACATTTTCACACCATCACTCAAAAAAGTTGGTGCTCCCGACAAATTGCAAATTGCCCGCTGACACTATATGAAGAAGAAAAAAAGATAAAACAGCGAGAATCAATCAAAAGCAGTATGCTGCTGGTCGAGCATGACAAGAGTGAGCTTTATGAATGGGGAGAGCTGTTTCTCAGTCCAGTTTCTGAGGCACGGAGGAGGGGGGGGGGCAGCCACTCAAGAGTTGGGATAAGGTTACCCACAGAGATTAGCTGACAAGAGTGAGGGAGTGAGAAAAACAAGCAAGCAAGTTAAAGGTCTTAGTTTACCTGGCTTGCTGTGCTTGGCAGCCAATGAAAGTGCTTTGAAACCACAGATTGTGCCTGAGATGTTCCTCAGCGGCCACATTTGCCAATTCTGTTCAAATTTCATGAATACAAATTTAGAGCTACAAAGTGGCGAATTATGTTATTTCGACGACTCCCAGACTCCTTTCAAGTCTTTGAATTTGAACCTCGCCGCGTCCCCGAGCAGCAATGCGTGTCTGTCCGCAGCGACGGGACTGTGGGAATGTCACCGAGGATATCTCATTGAAGCTAGAGGAGGAGGCATCTGAAGGCGGGCGAGCGCTCAGCGGTTCAAAGGGCCCTAGCAGGCATTTAGGGCTCCACAAAAGAACTTGGCAGATCAGTAAGTGAAGCCCAATGTACTACATTAGTGTCAGGACCCCCTCCGCGTCCCTCCCACTTTGCACTTTCATCTCTGACACGGACATATTGACTTAAAGGAAAGGAGGGGTGCCAGGGCCCACCGAGGAGGGGTGGGTAGTGGCGGTGGGTGTCGGGGGGGGGGTATATGTGTCCCATTCAAATATCAAGGTGAGGCGATTGATGCCCAGGGGTGACCACTGACTCATATAAGCCACCCAGAAGCCTTTTTCTTTAACTAGAAGTCACAGGCCGACAAGCGTGTGAGACCCAAACGGGACGGCCCTCTTCCTCTCATCTCACTGAAATCAGCCTCACCCCATTAGTGTATGCTGACCCCACCCCAACCCCCCTCTCCAAACACACACCCACTTCCCTTTTCACACTGTGGGTGATGCCCTTCCGCGGGGCTACTGAAGTCCAACGGTTAATGTGGGTTTGGGTCGTGACGGGGTCGCGACACCTTGACATTGCGGAGGGTGACAGAGAGAGGAGCCAGAGGAGGGGGGGGGGAGCTATTGCCTGCTACCTCGGAGACCTTTCAAGTCTTACCTAAAGGAGAGGGAGGAGGAAATAAAAAAAAGCGGGAAGTGTTTTAGTAATTTGTCCCCCGTCACACGTTGTTTGCATGGAGTCATTAAGGGCCATTTAGGTTCTGCCTTGAAGGGAAGAGGCCAGAGAATTTGGGCGCGGGTGCTCTTTGGGAGAGAGGCCGTGGGAGTGAAGGGTGAAAATTAAAGCGTTGCTCTTCAACAAATCATCTCTGTAAGCACCGCGTACATGCAGAACATATTACCGTTTCCATTGACTTGGGTCGCCTGTTTGACATTAATGATGATTTGCTCCATGTCGTCCAGCGGGGAGTTGAAAGTTGTTGCTCTCTTGTTGCTAGTTGCTAACACGTGAAACAACTTTATGTGACTACACGAGTTTTGAAGACATCACTAAACTATTCTCGCTTGGATGAGATCTTTGGCCATTGTTCAGTACAGAGTAACTGCCAACATGTGTCACAGTGATCCAATTGAATAACAATCAGCCGACAGACCCCATGTGTTTTAGGATTTTGGCCTGTAGTTGACAGATACATGTCAAATCTCCTGGATGAGCAGAGGTAATCGAAAAGTCTTGTTTCGCTTCTCGGACTTGTGCCTTAATGACATAATAAGCCTTCAGAGCGGGGTGGACTGGTGGTGAACGTTTGGGAAGTCAAATGATGTAAGTGTTCTTTGTCAGCTTTTTTCCTCCCTGAATTGAACGAACCCATAATTGTTTTTCTAGGACTGCCATAATTACCAAATTAAGTGGCTGGTTGTTTTGTAACGTGGCATAAAAGTGCTTTGAGACTCACAAACTGGCCAGAGGTTTTGACTCATTCACACGAAATGAGGAGGAAAGTAACTAAGTAAATGTACTCAATTACTTTACTTGAGTAATTCCCTTTTATGCTACTTTATACTTCTACTCCACATTCATAGGCAGTTATAGTACTTTTTACTTCAGTATAAACATTTAACACTCATAGGTACTTTAAACATGTGATGTGCTTATATGATTTGATACAGTGATATTTATATCGCCCTGAGATTGATAAAAACAGGATCATATATTATATAAAAGCTCATTCGTCATATAGAGTCCTTTTACTTTTGATACTGTAAGTAGATTTAGCTAAGTATGCACTTCTACGAAAGTAACATTTTGCATTCAGGACTTTTACTGAAGTGAAGGATCTGAGTACTTCTTCCACCTCTGGTTATCATTAAAACAGTAATTAAAAAACGTAACTGCCCTGCTGTGTTTTAAATGCATTTTCCTGCCTTGATGAATGGCAGTTTATAGATCTCATTAATGACACAAAGGCCCTGCACCGTAAATCAGAAATCAGCTTTGAAACACGTTAGAATCAAAAGGATGTCGAAGCCCACCAAGAGTGTGACCCGGACTCACCCACATGATTTGATGAGGACTTTGATTTGAAGTCATTACCTTCATGTTAGGGGTGAGAAGTACTAAGTGAGTGTTCAAAGGCGAAACCTGTCAGGCTAATGTTTATCTGATTACTGCTGTGTGTCTGAGAAGCACTTCCTCAGGTGCAACTGGGCTGTTGTGGGGCTTGTTGTGGCAACACACTGGTCTCATCTTGTGTAACTCATCCAATTCAATAATGACAATATCATTTTGAAAATTATGGAAGACTATTGAATTATTAAAAAATTAATCGTTCTATTTATGATATTTTTTTGGAATACATCCTACAATGTTTCCTTTTTGATTAAGGCAAACATGGTTTTGCAGCTATATTATCGACTTTGTGTGTTTTTAAATATATGTTTGAATGAAAAAAGAGGAAATGTTGATTTTGCTCCAAATGAATGACTTCCTTTTTGCCAAAAAAAGTGTCCAAACCTGAGAACACAGCCTCATTAAAGGTGGGGTAGGTAATTCACTTCAGAAACACTTGTTGTTATATTCCATGGAATGCTCTTAACACCCCGATAGCAATGAACACATTA